AGAGAGAGAGAGAGAGAGAGAGAGAGAGAGAGAGAGAGAGAGAGAGAGAGAGAGAGAGAGAGAGAGGTGCTTGAGAAACCAAAAACGCAGCTGCGCACTCAGTGGCACTGACTCACATCGTGGACATTCAGCAATCCCATTGCAAAAACCGGATTGTGAAACTTCTCCACCAAACCCAAGCTGTGTTGCATTTAAGGAACTGAAGTCAGTGGACGTTCTAGCTCGGGCCCTCTCCTAAGAAGTACATTGTCCAGTGTCATTGATCAGAACTCCTGCCAAGAGTCACAGCCCTCTTCTTTTTTTTTTTTTTTTTTTTTTTTTTTTTTTTTTTTTTTTTCAATAACACAATAATTACGATTATGCAAAGCAGCCTCACCACTTTCTTGGCAGTCAGCCACTGTAACATGAACTTGTTCCAACTCTCAAACAGTCTACTCTGAGTCTCCGGCTCAGCATCTCGCCAGTCACGTCGCAGTCGTATTCATATTATAACCAGTAATGAACCTTAGCCTGTGTAAGAGAGAGTCAACATATCCTCGCAGACTCAATTGGGAACCATCATCAATGGCCAGACTCGGTGAATCTGGAAAAGATGCTCCAGCGAGAAATCCCATGCCGCACCAACTAAGCATTTTTATATGGCCTACTCCAGACATCGACAATTGCCTCAGACATCAGCAAAGTGAGTACAGGACCTGCAACTTTTCTGTTCTTCATAGGTTCACTAGCGTACACCTCAAATTCAGGAGGTTCTACCAAACTTTTCCCGGTTGAGCAGCAGCAACGATTAGCAACAGGTGCATGACCAGGCGGAAATGGAGAAGAAAAAGGGGAGGCTTTCAGCCCCCACTCAATCTCACAGTACGCCTCTGGCCAGTTACTAGTCTGAGAGGACATAGTGCCAGGGCTTAGGGTTTACGGGTGAGGCCTGTCCCCTAAAGGGGACGCCAAAAGGAGAGGGATAGCAGGGTACTAGGTATTGAACTGAGCAGCGGGAATGACCAGGCCAGTCAGAGACTCAGAGGTAATTCTAATAGCAGATAGGGGAAACGCTAGGGTGTAGGAGTTAAGCATAGGAGTAGGAATTAAAGAAATTTATTTGTTTAGGGGTGCTTCTTACTCGGGTCCCTCGGGGTCTCGTCAAAAGCATACCACTGGGTAATGCTCCCAGATCCGGTCTTTGTGGGGGGATGTCAGCCCCTCTCATCTGAATAAACCAAGGAAGCAGTTTTTTCATTAAAATAAACGAATAAATAGACACCTAAGACCAAGCAAAGAAACTACCGAGGTTAACATGCCCGTACGCCCTGGACCATAAAAAAAAAAAAAARAAAAAAAAAAAGAAGCCCGTAAGCTGGAAGCAGGCTCCATTCTCACCCTCTCTTCAAATGCCAGTCACCTCAATGCTTGTGCATCACATATTGCCTGCAAAAGATCTAGTACCTTCCTCGCAACCCCCTCCAATATCGGCAGGATGCCGATGTCAGGTGTCATCATGGTTGGCCGTTTGCGTTTGTTCGGGTCGGCGCAGCGCAGCGCCAAGCTCGCTACTTCACGTGCTAGATGAACATCCCAAAAACCTGCATTGGAATCGGGAGCATTCTTGAAAGCCGCTTCATCTTCAATCGCATTGTCAATGACATCGAACGCATTCGAGAAATTTCCGGTCAGCATCTCCAAAAGAGTGATGCCAAAAGCGTAGATATCCGTTTTTTCACTGAAAACTCTGGACTGCCAGTATTCTGGGGCGACATACTGAGGGTTGCTTACCACAAATTCTGGCAAGGCAGTTCCCTCAGCAGTTTTCGGGAGGCCAAGCAGTGCTCGATCGACACGACCTATCTTGGCCACAAAATTGTTGTCGAGTAGGATGTTTGTTAGCGTGATGGCGCTGTGGATGATGGGACCACCAGAAACCAATGGGTAAGAATGGAGAAAGGATAAGCCTCTGGCAACCTCCGCCATGATGCGGAAGCGAACATACCACGCCAGAGACACTCTCTCTGGCGTAGAGTTTTCTCCACGACGTGCGATACAATTCTGCACATTGCCATGAGCCATGTGCTCATAAACGAGACAGCTCTCTTCATAACAAACTCCCAGAGGGGTAAGCAGATGGGGATGCTGGAGTAATTTCAACCTTTCTACCACATCTGCTTCAAACTTGTTGCACTCAACAACCTGCCTAGTACTCATAATATCCCTGATACTCTTTACTTTAATATGTGTGCCGTCAGCGGCGTCAGGTAGTTTCCCCGTGTAAACATCTTCATGGTGATCCACATCAGATTCTCCAAACTTCCACTTTATGTGAAAATTGTCCGTCGCATCCTGTAGTTCCTTCATGGATAACTCCTTCAGCAAGGGAATCTCTGTTGTGCTAGCATCACCAGCGAGGAGTCCGCCGGCAGACATCTTTGTCCTGTTTTGATTAGCAATGATCTCTTTTAAGAGTCTTTGCTCCTGTTCGTTAACTTTCTCTGTCAGTTTGTCCCTCTCTGATTCCAACAGAGAAATCCTGTTTTCTAGATGTGTTTTGGATGCGTCGGACAGCTTTTGCGCGCTGACCGCTTCTGCCTGAATTCTTTTAAGCTTTGTCTCCAGCTTCTGAGTCCTTTTTTCTTGGATTCTCTCCTTTTCCCGACGCAGATCTGGTTCGTTACCTTTGTCCCCTGGTATCATCAGCTTGTCCCTCTTTGATTCCAACCGAGAGATCCTGCCTACTAGATGTTTTCTAGATTCGTCGGACAGCTTTTGCGCACTGACCGCTTCTGCCTGAATTCTTGTAAGCTCCGTCTCCAGCTTCTCAATCCTTTCTGCTTGGACTCTCTCCTTTCCCCGATGGTCTGCTCGCAGTTCATCGATCACTTTATCGCAGTTTCGCTCAATCTTTTCCGCCATGTGCTCAATCTTCTTCTCAAGCTCTTTTAAAGAATTGGCTAGTACTCCATTTTCCAGTTGAATTCTTCGTCTTCCAGCAAAAAGAGACCCCCTTTGCTCCAGTTCTTTCTTGTCCTCTTCTTCCCCTCTTGTACTTAGTACCTGTGCTACAAGAAACTCGCCACGACCTCCTAGGAGAACCATGTTAGACTTTGCACATGGATGCATTCTCCTGACCATACCAGCCCAACGACAGAAGTAGGACGAGACTTGCTGATAGGTTGAGTCACTCCAGACTCTGATTTCTCCATCGTCTGCTGCTGTGAAGATATACGGCAAGCGTGGATGAAAAAAGGCTGAAATAGGATTGTACTTGTGTGGCACCCACTTTGCCACACTCTCATAGTCCCATACACATATACATCTATCAAGTGATGAGATCAAGAGCGACTTATGCAACCCATTGCCGAATCCAATTTCATCTATATAGCCATAATGGTCATCCTCCTCCAAAGTATTGAGAACAGACATTGTCTTCAAGCTCCATACCTTGATAGTGCTATCACTTCCAGCGCTTGCAAAGATGTGTGACTCCCTTGGATGAAACACCACTTGATATACCCATCGAGAATGGCCTTTCAGTACTATCTTTTCCCATCCCTGGCCCCAGCGCCACAGGAGAATGTCGTCCTGGGCAAAAGCAGCCGATAAATAGGGTAAGGTTGGATGGACAGCCATCGCATGTGTCCTCATCCTGTAAGTTTCCCCCGTCAGCACCTTTATACATCGCAAGTTCGAACCTTGTTTGTCATATATAGCCAAGCTACACAGTCTCCTTACGGCAATCCAGTCTTCCTGTGTGATGAATTGAGCTTCATAGGCATCGTTATTAACGTCAGGGATTGCCCAGGAGGCAACCTGTGTTCCATCGTCACAGTTCCAGACTTGAAGCGACTGACCGGCAGGTGAGAATATGACCCACGGCTCAACAGGATGCACATTGACGAGAAGACCTCTCGTACAACCACTCTCCAAAATTTCCTTATCCTTCCTCTCAAATTTTGGCGCGAGGCGAAGCTCCGGTTCTCCACTACTGTCCCCCATGACGCCCTGTGCATGGTTGGATCTGCAGTTCTTGCACATGAGGCAACCAAGGTCCTCGGTAACCGAACGTGCATGAAGCTTTTCCTTACTTGTGACGGCCTTCAGCGCAAACCATAGTGTGGCGGTACTTTTAGAAAGACCGACTGTGATCAGCTTCTGTACAGAAGGAATCTAGTCTGAAAATTTGACGAGATACATCAGGCTCAGGCCTGCCAGTCGAGGCACAACAAGAGTGAGAGCTTGATGAGGCAACCAAGGTGCTCAGTACCCGATCGCAAACTTTTCCTTACTTGCGATGGCCTTCAACAACACAAACCACAGCGTGGCCTTTGAGGTACCATTGGAAAGACTGACTTGACTGACTGGTGATCAGCTACCGTATAGAACGAATCTAGTCTTGAAATTTGACAAGATACATAGGACTCAGGCTTGCAAGTCGAGGCCAAAAGAGAGGGCTTTTGATTTGAAGTACCCACGTCAAGCAATCCAGATGAACTGATGAACCTACTTAGAAAACGTGACTGCATTCACCCTGGTAATCAACGACAACAACGACAACGCCACGCAGTCCTAACAACAAACTAACTAATTTCTGCACCAATTCTTTTAAATAAATCTGATGATGAATCTACCTACCGTAGTAAATCTTGGCGAATGAAATGGCTATAAATAGATTCACCCACACATTGATCTTTCTTTTTTACTTTTTTTTAAAGAAAGGGTGCCGGCCTTGCGATATCAGCATTGAGCTGATCGGCCCCAGGTAATTCAGAATTATTATTTTTTGGTAATCTGATTACATCTGGATTCGAACTCCGGTCTCCATTTCAACAGTTCAAGAGTGTACTACCAACTGAGCTAGGCCCTTAGGTGGTCTTTCAAGCATGACACGCACAAACCGACAGGTGATTCCGACTTCAGAAAAAAATAAAAAAGCAGCTATTAACCCAGTCACGTGGCAGCAGCTAACGACGCCTCTGGCACAAACCCCTTTAACTACCCCCTATCTCATACGCAGGTTTGAACTCGTTGCCCAAATTTCGATCTGCCCCCGAATAGAAGGAACGGTCATTAATAGCATCAATAGGCGTAGCGTTTAGGGTTTAAAGCGAAGGAATTAGGACAGGGTTTAGGGTTTAAAGCGAAGGAATTAGGACAGGTTTTAGGGTTTAAAGCGAAGGAATTAGGACACGGAGAGGGGAGGGAGAGGGTAGACAGAAAATTAGGGGGATAGGAACAGTTGGGATTCATTCTTGGGGTTCAGTGGATTACTTCTTCATTGAGATTCCTTCATTAAAGTTCATTTCTTTGCTTATTATTGTCCAGTTGTCATTTTTGTTAGAGTTGCAGATGAGGGGGCGCTGGACAAGGGAAGAGGAAGGCCTATCAGTCAAACAAAGCAAATGACACATCCCACAGATAAACCAATTGCCACTGTCACAACAAAGTTCAACATATTTTTTTCTTATTTTCTGTTCTTTGTTGTTCTTTTTTTCTTTTCTTCAGCAATTTGTTCTTTTTTTCCTTTTTCCTTTGTTTTCTTTTCGTTTTTTTCAAAAAAAAAAAATCTTCTTTCTTCAACTCCATATCTTTTGGTACTGTCGAAAGCTTTATCTGTCCTACAGTTAGTGTTGCTCCTCGCCTGCTTGATTCTATTGACCAATCATGAAGAGGAGCCCCCAACCTGGCAGATAGGACAGGCACGCTGAGGATGACGTGGATGTCCCCACAAGGATACCCAAGGAGAGCTGCGCCAGCACAGCATTCAGCAGGACGGCTAGCACGGATCATCCCATCCCATCAAAACAGTCCTGACAAAGAATATGTTGTCCACATGTCAAAAAAACAGCAGGACGTTCATCACAGTGCGGCATCATGCAGTCCTGATGGTGTCCTTGCGCACAAAAGGGACAACGTATAACTGGGTGATAGGGATGTGTACAATGAGGAAATGTTGGACACCCTTCGGCACAGACGACGGCGGCCGCAATTGATTGATAATGCTGATGGCATAGATGATGACTTCCACAGCCAAGGCGCACCACGTCCCTGTCCCGACAGGTGTCACACGAGAGTCGGTCAATAATCCAGAATAAAATGTGATTTGGCAATGCACGCAAAAATTCATTTATGACATTTATGTTGAAAAAAAATAGCCTGAATCATCGTCCCACCATCCCACAGTTTCCACTGGGCAGCTGCACGAATGAGTGCGCCATATACGTAATGCCCGGGTCTGTGCGAAATGCAGGCAGAAATATGAGGATGGTCATTAATTCATCATCGCCTAGCATCGCATGATGCATAAGAAGGTGGCGACCGTGGAACGCTAACTGTATGACATTTACAGTAGAGCCTCCTGAGGTAGAGTATAGTTACTCCCGAGTCCCTACCCTCAGGAGGTGGACCATTATGGCCATACAACGACTGATTTTCAACAGCATCAAGCTGATAAGCAATCGTGACAAAATGGGATACAGTATAACATTGACGCTGATAAGCCTGTAAGCTGCCACAAGCATTTGGTAGATCTGCCCGCAGATCCGAATCGGTCACCGCTGGAAAGCCAGGTCCGATCTGCCTGATCTGGCGCTGTCGGCGCGTGATTGACGAACGCCGTCGACTTGGCAGAGCAGGCTGTCGGTAAGACAAAGAACCTGGCAGATTAACATCAACACGACGTCGAGAGGAAGAGGAACTGGGAAGAGGAGAGAATGAACGAACCTGCCGACGTCCCAATATGGACAACGAAGATAAACGAGGGGCCGATCTCAGCCCGTGTGGGGAAGAGGAAGACAAGTTAGAGAAGAAGAAGAAGAAGAAGAAGAAGAAGAAGAAGAACAAAGGGAAGAAGAAGAAGAAGAAGAAGAAGAAGAAGGGGAAGCAGAAGAAGAAGAAGAAGAAGAAGAAGAAGAAGAAGAAGAAGAAGAAGAAGAAGACGAAGAAGAAGGGGAAAAGAAGAAGAAGGGGAAAAAGAAGAAGGGGG